ATTTTCATTCTCCTGATTTATTCCTGGTTCACCCCAAGTTTATTTTAATAGTTTAATCTTAATCATTAAACAAAAGCTTAATGATTGTTCAATTGATACTTTAATTGGTCTTGGATACTTTAATAAAAAATAAGGTTACATGTATTCACTTTTATACTATATTCATTGTATTGTAAATAGTTAAAGAAAGGAATTTTTTTTAAAAGTACAATTCTGTGCATGTTTACCCAGATATAAGCTCACTGGGGTTTACTTTCAAAGCACAACTATTTTTTTAAAGAATCTAAAAGAGAACTTGCATCTTATTCTTGTTTTAAGTAGAAATTCAGCTACCTATTAATGAGAGCAAATACAGTTTTTACCCATTTGTGCTAAGCAAAAGCTTTCAATTAATAAAGTCAAGTCATTTCACTGCAGAAAAAAAGACTCAGCACTAACTGTACTTAGATTCGGAGTCCACCCAAATCTTATTATCTAATCAAACCTAGGAACAAACACAATGATTTTCTCACAATAATTCTCAATATGATATATATCCAGGACTGAGTATGTATATACATATGAGATCCACTATCAGAAAAAAAACCCTCTAATCAGTTAATAAATTTGGCACATTTGTACCTTATCTTAAAATTGCTATTTTTAAAAAATCTGCAAACATATTTTTAGAGTTATGTATTTTAAATTATAGTAGCTTGTCTTTGTAAATGCATAGCTTACCTTGACTTTGGGAAGATTTTGCTTGATTGGAAAGTTCTTCATTTTCTATTGAGTATAATGAATTAAGGAAGAAGTGAATACTAAACAGATTACTTATCAAATGCAAACAAAAATCTAGGGCTTTCTTTACATTGGTTTGATTACCAACTGATCTGAAAAAAAAAACCCAGACCTTTCTGCTGAAGCCTAGTACAAGTAGTCCTCAACTTACAACCACAATTGAGCCTGAAATTTCTGTTGCTAAGCAAGACGTTTGTTAAGTGAATTCCACCTCATTTTATGACCTTTCTTACCACACTTGTTAAGTGAATCACTGCAGTTGTTAAGTTAGTAAACGGTTGTTAAGTGAATCTGGCTTCCCCGCTGACATTGCTTATCGGAAGGTTGCAAAAGAGGATCACATGACTCTGGGGCACTGCAACCGTTATAAATACCAGCCAGTTGCCAAGCAGCTGAATTTTGATCATGTGTCTGTGGAGATGTTGCAATGGTCATAAATGTGAAAAACAGTCATAAGTCACTTTTTTCGGTGCTGTTGTCGAACAGTAACTAAATGAATGGTTGTAAGTTGAGGACTACCTGTAAAGTATCTTGCCAGTAAAATCTGGATTCAAAATGTTAGGGAGAATAACAATTTACTTTTGCTATAATTTGAGTAATTGGCTCAAATAACTTCTAGGCTCTATCTAGTTAAAAAAAAAAGTCCATTGTCCTGGCTCAAGTTTCCTCTTTACTAAAGCTCTGAGGTGCTAATTCCCCCTAGTGATTTTTTCCAAGCAGAAGCATCTCCTGGTGAAGTGGTGGAAAAAAAACAACTGACAGAGGCCTCTCATCTGACATTTCCCTTTCAGAACAGCAGCCAGGGATGGGCTGAAGGCCCCTGGCATNACCCACCCACCCACCCACCCACCCACCCATCTATCTATCTATCTATCTATCTATCTATCTATCTATCTATCTATCTATCTATCTATCTATCTCCCCCCCTTATTATTTTTACAAATAACTCAAGGTGGCGAACATGTCCCATATACTTTCCTCTTACTGTTTTCCCCACAACAACCTGGTAAGTTGGGTTGGGCTGAGAGAATATGACTGGCTTTAGACTGGTGCCTTAACCACTCGACCATACTGGTTCTATCTCATGTTCTTTCACATTTCTTGGCTTGGTTGAAACATAAACCAGTCACCCTGGGCTTTCCAAGGATACCTGCTTTACCTGTTCCCACAGTACTAGAAGTATACGATGGTGGAGTTGGCAAACCAGGAGCTATAACGTTAGCCAGCGGAACGAGGCCTGCATTGTTGTAAGCACCTGGTAAGGAAACAGAAGGCACAGAAAGATGGAGAAATAATACACTAGTGCATATTCCTATTGGGTTGCTCTGATCATTGTCTCACCCTAAGTAGCACACGTGAAAATCATAGCTCCTCCACAAGGCTTTAAAAATATTTTAACATTATTTACTTGTGTAAAACTATTCAACACTGTTATACCTTACCTGTATGCTGTCTGGGGAAAAAAAATTAAAAATAGCTTAACTTGTATTATACTGGGTGGTATAATACATAAAACACTATTGTTGATTTGGCCTGGAAGAAAAATGAAATGTTCATCTATATTCAATAAATTGAAAAAGATGGCGGGCAGGAATTATCACATTGTTGGCTCTCTTTCCTTTTATTCTTTTTATTGCTATTTATGGAAGGAACAGAAAATGTGGTAGCATCAATTCCTAGCAAATAACAGATACTTTGCTTAATGTCAATAAGACTCTCTGGGGGCGAAAAGAGTTTTCAGCTCTGAGCACCACTCATTATTACAGGCACACACGCTGGCTGAGGAATTCTGGGAGTTGAAGTCCACAAGTCATAAAAGGGCCAAGTTTGAAGACCCCTGTTACAGGCTATTAACTCATCAGAAAAGATTAGAGGCAAATATACCGTATTTATCGGCGTATAACACGCACTTTTCCCCCCTGAAAATAGGGGGCAAATGATGTGTGCGTGTTATACGCCGATATAATGTTATACGCCGATATACGGCCAGCCCGGGTAAATTCGGCCGTATTCTTCAATACGGGCCGGCCCCAGCAGTTCCGGCTGGTTGCCGGCAGTTGGCTGTTCCTCCCTGGCCGCCTCGGCTCCCCCCGGTTTGTCGGTGAGCGCCCAGCAGAGCGCAGCGTTGCCAGGCCTCTCCCCTTCGCGTGAGGCGTCTGGCGTTCCCCCTCGCGCTTGGCTGCGGCGGCCCGGGGTATTCCGTCCCGGCCTCAACACGCAGTGCCGTAGGGAACGGAAGGGGGAGGGCCGTACCTGGAGCATCACATGAAGAATTGGCTGAAGAATACGGCCGAATTTACCCGGGCTGGCTGAGAAAGGTGCACCTCAAGCCTTCCCCGCAACGGGGAGAAGCCCCCTCCCTTTTGCAAGGTCGCCCCCTCCCTGCTTTTGGGGTGGGGGAGAATTGAGAGAGAGAGAGAGAGAGACACACACACACACACACACACACAGAGGAGAGGGGAGCCGGCCGGCCCACCCGTTTCCCCCTTTCCCTGCGCCTGCCCGGGTAAATTCGGCCGTATTCTTCAGCCAATTCTTCATGTGATGCTCCAGGTACGGCCCTCCCCCCTTCCGTTCCCTGCAGCGCTGCGTGTTGAGGCCGGGACGGAATACCCCGGGCCGCCGCAGCCAAGTACGAGGGGGAACGCCAGACGCCTCGCGTGAAGGGGGGAGGCCTGGCGATGCTGCACTCTGCTGGGCGCTCACCGACAAACCGGGGGGGCCGAGGCGGCCAGGGAGGAACAGCCAACTGCCGGCAACCAGCCGGAACTGCTGGGGCTGGCCCGTATTGAAGAATACGGCCGAATTTACCCGGGCTGGCCGAGAAAGGCGCACCTCCAGCCTTCCCCGCAACCGGGAGAAGCCCTCTCCCTTTTGCAAGGTCGCCCCCTCCCCGCTTTTGGGGTGGGGGAGAATTGAGAGAGAGAGAGACAAACACACACAAAGAGGAGAGGGGAGCCGGCCGGCCCACCCGTTTTCCCCTTTCCCTGCGCGAGCGTGTGTGGATTTCCCCTTTTTTTTCTGCCCGCCCGGTTCCAGCTTCTCACTATCCAGGCGTTTCTGCAAAGCGGGAGGGGTCGAGGGAGGGGGGGGCGGTTGGTGGGAAAAGAAAAGATGGAGCAGCAGCCAAGGATTTATAAAGCAAGCGGCGGAGTCCTGCAGCTCAGAGGTGACACGGGGGGAGGGAATCGGAGCTAACCGAGGAAGGAGGCTGCTGTTTCTGCTGCTGCCGCCGCCAGCCGGGTCATAATACGGTAAATAAATACGAGCATAGGGGATCCGCGTGTGAATGAAGCCCCACTCCCCCTCCCCTTTTGCTTTCGCTCCCGAGCCGGCGCTTTTGAAAAGGGCTTGACTCCAGCCTGGGATTCGGAGCGGGAGACGCCGCCGCTGCTGCCGCCGCCTGCGCTGCTGTGGACTTACAATATCCGAGCAAAAGACTTTGCAAAAGACCACCCCGCCAAGGGGGAAAGGCGCGCAGTTGGGCACCGTCTTCCTTCGGCGTCTCTTTAAACGGTGCTCGGATATTGTAAGTCCACAAAGAACTGGGGAAAAGAACCGGGCGGGCGGGCGAGAGAGGCGGGCAGAAAAAAAGGGGGGGGGGGAAAATCCACACACGCTCACACAGGGAAAGGGGAAAACGGGTGGGTTTCCCAGATAGTAGCGATTTCTGAGTAAACTTTTGTAAAAACAGAATATCCAAGTTTCTTTGTTAAAACAGTTGCTTTTACTGTCCTTTTACATTATTTACCTTATAAGTGGTAATAATATTAATAAAAAAAGTTCTGAGCTACCCTTATTTTGCTTCAAAGTTCTTTATTTGAAATTTAATTTTTTTTCCTGAAATTTCCCTCTTAAAATGAAGGTGCGTGTTATACGCCTGTGCGTGTTATACGCCGATAAATACGGTAAAAGAAACGGTAGAGAAAGCAAGCAATCTCAAAGAAAAAAAAATTCAGGCAAGCAACCTCAGAGAAAACAAATGTATTCATTTATAAATAATGATTATGAGGCTACCTATGAGATGTACCAATTAGGTCACATTAGAACCAATGTCAAATAACAGGGCCAAAGCTTACTTGGTGCAATTGTTGCATGTGGTCGGCAAGGAGGAATTGGGTAAGGAACAGGCTTGTGTGGATTGTATGTTGTTGGAGCCTAAACAAAAGGAAACGAGATTATATGCAAAGCTATCATGAAAGACAGCGTGCAACCAGGGCACATTTGGCTTTGGCAAAGATGCTTTTTTCCTGTGCTCCTTTCACTGGTATTTTTTTGTTGGTAAAGCTGTTCATTATTTGGTTCATCCTCCTCCTATAGATTTCTTTTCTGTCTAGATTCTGCCTCTGTGGTCAGCTAATCTAAACTGTGGCTTCTTTTGTTCTTTTCATTCCTGCCCCTTTCTTTGGACCTCAGTAACTTTAGTAACTGCATGGCGAGAGAAATTAGGGCTGCACCTCGTGCCCAGCACCATGACGTGTAATTATACGATGAACCTACACGTCATTAGGCTGAAACAAAGCCTCACAATAGTCACTGTCTGCCTAAGTGCACTTCCCTAACTTACAGTTGTGTTGGACTGCAATTCCCACATTCTGCATGTACAACGTTGGGCACAAATTATAAAAATTATAATCCTTAGTAACTGGAAGATGCCAAGTTAGGAACGTCTGTTCTTAATGATCAAACTTCTGCTTTCTTGCATTTAAAATACACTTGAAATACTTTCTTTTCATTCCTTTTATGCAAGTTATTCTTTCTTAATAGCTAATATTATAGACATCTGAACAGGGTTTATTAAGGAACAAAATCTTAGATTTACATATCAACTGCTATCTGTAATAAAATAGGGGCTGTATTTGTCACATGTGCACTCTCAGCTAATTCTTTTCCCTACTAAATTTATCCGGTTTTCAACAGCAAAGTCAATGGTACTTTTTGATTACTGCATTAATGTGACTTACTGGTTTTGATGGTCCAAGAATGCGAGCTGCTATTCCTTTGCCTTCACTAATATAATCCTCATTTTCCTTCTTAATAGGGGAACCCTATAAAATAAAGATTTTCCATTAGTGAATATATAACACTATGTTAGAAGCAAAAATATAGATCTGGTTCAAGGAGTACAGGTAGTCCTCCACGTATAGCAGTTCATTTAGTGACCGTTTGAAGTTACAACAGCACTGAAAAAAATGACTTATGACTGTTTTTCATATTTACAAGCACTGCAGCATCCCCATGGTCACATGATCAAAATTCAGTTGCTTGGCAACTGACTCATATTTATGATGACTGCAGTCTTCCAGGGTCATGTGATCACCTTTTGCCAGCTTCTGACAAGCAAAGCCAATGGGAAAGCCAGATTCACTTAACCATGTTATTATATTAACAACTGAAGCGATTCACTTAACAACTGTGGTAAGAAAGGTCATAAAATGGGGCCAAATTCACTTAACCAATGTCTCGCAACAGAAATTTTGGATTCAATCATGTACAGGACCACCTCTACAGTTAAGTCATGATTTACGTAATCATGTCTTATGAAATAAATTAGCTGATTAATGGATAAATCATAAAATAGCTTTACAAACCACCATGGTTATGTTCACACCACACACTAAGCTAAATTTAACTAAACTAGACTAGACTATACTAAACCTGACTAGACTAGACTAGACTAAAGGCTTGGTAAAATATATGAACACAACCACAGTACGTACAGAAGTATCCATGGAAATTATTAATATCAGTATATATATATATATAAAGTCTGAAACCTGAATGTAATATATTTTCCATTTATCAGACAAGGGAAAATATATATGATGACAAACAGCATGACAAGACAGCTTCCTCTACATTTAATCAGCATGAATTCAGCTCTATGAGATAAGCTAGATTCAAACTTGGCCCTTTTGTGACTTGTGGACTTCAACTCCCAGAATTCCTCAGCCAGCCTGCCTGTTGAAGTCCATAAGTCATAAAAGGGCCAAGTTTGAAGACCCCTGAGCTAGAAGTTAAATAACATGACTTCTTTGAGATAACCTGAGCAGAATAAAACTTCACAGAGGATAAAATATTCCACAAAACATGAGTAATATGTTAAAAGACATTCAATGGAAAATTCAAACCAACTGAAAGTTCAGTAAGACCATACGTACAGGAAAAATCCCATTGATACGGCTGGGCTTCCCTTTGGGGTAAGGGTTCCCAGGAATCATGCCACAAGAAGATATCATAGCATGAGGTGCTTTGCATCCTGCTTTGGAAGCCTAAAATATAAAGAAACAAAATAAAACCACACACACACACAAAGAATGGGCATTTCACTACTGTGAGATAACCCAGCATGTTCTATAAAACACATGAAAGAGAATATTAGTGTAATATCCCTATTTCCAGACTCTAGATCAGTGTTTCTCAACCTTGACAATTTTAAGGCATGTGGACCTCAACTCCCAGAATTCCACAGCCAGCAATGCTGGCTGTGGAATTCTGGGAGTTGAGGTCCACATGCCTTAAAATTGTCAAGGTTGAGAAACACTGATCTAGATGAACTATGGTTACTGCCGCAAGATCAAACCCGATCTGGGAATGATATTCCCTAGGTCAGGGGTAGGCAACCTTGGCTCTTTTATGACTCATGGACTTCAACTCCCAGAATTCCTGAGTCAGCATAGTCCATGAGCCGAGGTTGCCTGCCCCTGCCCTAGGTGCATCTTAGTACCTACTGGTATCATCTTTTTTTGCCCTACCTGAAAGTAGTTCTGGAATTTGTGGCAGGGCAAGGCAATGTCAGTATCAATTAGGCAAGTTCACAAGAAAAGATCTTCTAATAATCATTGTTGAAGAAAAATAAGGAAACCACAGTGAAGGTATTTCAGTGATTGCTATATAATATAAACCCTATGTATAGAAACTGATTTTTTTTTTAAAAAAAATAATGTGCTCTTTTCTTTCCAACTTATGAAACAGGCTGCCTTGCCCCCTTATTTGAGTGTGATGGCCTGTTTCATCTATCCTTTGTTTTGCATAATCAGATTTGCTGGCATTTATTTTCCATTCACTGTGTGAAAAATAACATTCACATCTTACAAGCACTGCCTGAACTCTCAAAACATTTGAAACAATTGCTTCAGCCTCTGAGGGTGTGCTCAGCTGGACTATCTGGGTGAGCAGTAAGATACTTCTGAGTTCCCTCGGTCAACTTTAGTTTGAACAGATCCAGTTTTTAAATTAGGTTCTATTATGGAACCTCCCAAGTGATTTTTTTTTTACTCTTTAAATAGGATACTTCCTATTTATTGAGCGAAAATGCCTCACATATGTTGGTGTCTTAAGAATTAAGTCAATTGTATCCTTCAGCAATCTTTCAAAATGCCTTTTCTTAACTTTAATCTCTAGCAGGCATCTCCCAATTTTTTTCTGCCCATATACTCTTGGTGACTCCCACTTATAAGAGTGCAATTCTCAGTATTCGTAATTATCAAGGAGGCTGAAATTTCCTCATTGATAGAGGGGTGTGGAAGATCTGTTTACAAACATTTTCCACAGTCCCACTGTGGATATAATGACTAATTTATATTTGTTAAAAATTAAGTGAACAGTTTTGTAAAGCTCAGAAAATTATTTTTCTTTTCTAAACAATTGGAACATTTCCACACCATTAACATTCTTCCCACGTACATCTGCTATATTTCTCCTGAGAAGAGCTGATGGATCTCTTTCTTTGACTAGTTTTATAAAAACTCTAAATCAGGGGTAGTCAACCTTGGCTCTTTTATGACTCGTGGACTTCAACTCCCAGAATTCCTGAGCCAGCCATGCTGGCTCAGGAATTCTGGGAGTTGAATTCCACGAGTCATAAAAGAGCCAAGGTTGACTACCCCTGCTCTAAATCATACATGTTTCTTGCCTTAATACCTGCTCAAGAATTCTTCTGCATCTCTTCTTCTCAGACATATTAACTCTGAAGAGGTCTTCAATAAGACGATAATTCTGAGCATCAATTATATTGCTAAAAAAAAGAGTTTTAAAAGCTATTTATAATCTTTACAGCCACAATCCATCTTATAATTTAATATTGCTTCACTATATTTTTCTAAAACGAAATGATAAACAAAACGCTAATATGAATATGGAGCGAAGTGCTGTATTTTTATCTAAATATTTATTGTTCATTTAACAAAAACCAGTTGTACAGAGCAAAATAGTTACAGCCTTTTAGAAAAAGTGCCTTAATCAATCAGATTTTTATCCAACTAAATATCAATCAGACTTAAGCTAGTATTAATAAGAGTATACATCATCAATAGGGAATACTTACGAAGCCAACAATTCTAGTGCAATAAGCTTGTCTTTACTAAAAGTGAAGCAGTTGAGGATATTAACCACTTTTGCTGCAGAAACAGCTACCATTTTCTAGAAACAAAAGAAAAGTGGCCTTAGTTTATATTACATTCTTGCTTAGGTTCAAAGTACAAACATTTTAATATTATAAACTGCTCAGAGTTACTCTGTGGTAAGATGGGGGATCAATAAGTTTAATAAATAAATAAAAATATTTCAGCTTCTGTTAATATAAATTTGGATCAGAGAACTACTACTACTACTACTACTACTACTACTACTAATAATAATAATAATAATAATAGAGTTCAAGGGACCTTGGAGGTCTTCTAGTCCAACCCCCTGCTCAGGCAGGAAACCCTATACCATTTCAGACAAGTGTTAATGATACATTAAGTATGAAAACATGCTGTCCTCAGAAAAGAGACTATGCTATAAACTAAATGAAAGCAGGAGAGGCAAATAAAAAAAATCTCCAGCTGGATAAAATTATTACATTAATTATAGAAGTGATTGATTCTTCAGAAACTTACATGCTGTAATGCCTTCATCGCTTTCAATTGTGGTTCAGCCCAAGAGAAACACCTCAGCAGCTCAACAATCTGCAACAGGAGCCATTCTATCATACACACCATGTACACTAAGACAATTTATTTAGAACTACTGTCTTCTCTTGAAATAAAAGCATTTTCTCTCATCTTCGAGGCTTCTAAATGAATCTTTAATAGGTAATAGCAAATTCACTATGATCTGAGCATTTACTATCGTATCTTTGTCACATAAACATTTGGAATAATTAGAATGTAAAATTTTACTCAGGTTTAATTGATAAGTAAATAATTGATTTCTATAACTTGAAATTTGAATGTGGGTATTAGAGGTAATCCTTGAATTTTGACTGCACTTGGGAGTGGGATTGCCGAGGGACTCCCAGGTGAGAAGTGCAGGGTTTCAAGGGAGGAGGCTACATGCAAATTAGTGTGGTATTGCAGTGTGAGAAGTGCAGGGTGTGTTTGTGTGTGCTTGTGTGTGCAAGGGGAGGCTGAGGAAAGAGGGCCTGGGGTGCATGTATGTGTGTAATCATAGACATTGGAGACAGAAGGCATGGGGCGTGTGCATAAGAATGCTGGTAAACCCATGGAAGGGGGGCACTGGGGCATGCATTTGTGCAAGTGTAGGAGGTTGGGGAAGGAGAGTGCTGGTGGGTGCAAATGAGTGAAGGAGGAAGGAGGACATAGTGCTTGTAAGTGCTTGAAGGCGGGAGGGGGGGGTGGAACTTGTTCAAGCAACTTGTGATGTTCCCTGCTAGCTTCCCCATTGACTTTGCTTGTGGGAAGCTGGCAGAGAAGGTCAGCAATGGAGATTATGAGTGTGCAGGATGCTGCAACTGGTCTTAAGTGCAAACTAGTTGCCAAGTCCTTGAATTTTGATCAAGTAACTGCAAGGGCACTGAAACAGCTGGAATTTTGAGCACGATGAGCATTCAGTGTTAAGTCTGTATCAGTTCCCACATTCAGCACAGCACAAATCAGAATATATAAAGTATAAACATCTTGTATTGTTCTTTCATACAGTATATTTCTTACAATGCTGGATTAATCAAGGTTACTCTCATGAGATCTTTGCACAATCCACTGTCAAATGCTGAAAGGAAAACAAAATACCTTTAAGTGCCTTTTTCATGCTCCAGTAAACTTCCCTTAGTTGTAATGGCTTATAAAATAGTTCATCTCCCTTACCTGTTCACTAGAAAAGTATCCATGTACATATTCAATTGCTTTTAATTTGTATTCCATCAAAACAGCCTATAAACACAGAAACAGCATTTGTCAAACTTACAGGAATTAAAATGGAAGGTTTCTGACAAGTCTGTTGGGTGGTCTGAACGTGTATCAGAAATGAAGATTCTATAAGTTTTGTAATTTATTTTCTCTTCAGTGTTAGCTATCTCAAGTACAATTATTTGGTAAAAAGGGAAGGTACATAGGTAGTCCTCAACTTACAACAGTTCATTTACTGAGCTTCAAAGTTACAACAGAACTGAAAAAAGTGACTTGTGACTGTTTTTCACACTTATGACCCTTGCAGTATCCCATCATCATGTGATCAAAATTCAGCCACTTATGATGGTTACAATGTCCTGGGATCATGCGATCCTTTGACAAACAAAATCAACAGGAAGCCAGATTCACTTAACAACCATGTTACTAACTTAACAATTTAACAGCAATGATTCACGTAACAAGTGTGGAAAGAAAGGTGATAAAATGGGGCAAAACTCACTTAACAAATGTCTTGCTCTGCAACAGAAATTTTGGGCTCAATTTTGGTTCTAAGTTGAGGACTCCCTGTAAATTCCTTAAATAATTGGGCCAAAAGTATCAGTATAATAATTCCAACCTGTCTCCCAAATTCAGTGAAGCTCTCACCTTCTATCTATCTTTATTGTACAAACATTGATTACCTTTCTAATTTCATCAAGAACTGTCTCAAATGCTTTTTTATCCATCTTGTTTTCTTCAGTCACAGCCTTTTGTCTGTTCCAGNATTTTCATTCTCCTGATTTATTCCTGGTTCACCCCAAGTTTATTTTAATAGTTTAATCTTAATCATTAAACAAAAGCTTAATGATTGTTCAATTGATACTTTAATTGGTCTTGGATACTTTAATAAAAAATAAGGTTACATGTATTCACTTTTATACTATATTCATTGTATTGTAAATAGTTAAAGAAAGGAATTTTTTAAAAAGTACAATTCTGTGCATGTTTACCCAGATATAAGCTCACTGGGGTTTACTTTCAAAGCACAACTATTTTTTTAAAGAATCTAAAAGAGAACTTGCATCTTATTCTTGTTTTAAGTAGAAATTCAGCTACCTATTAATGAGAGCAAATACAGTTTTTACCCACTTGTGCTAAGCAAAAGCTTTCAATTAATAAAGTCAAGTCATCTCACTGCAGAAAAAAAGACTCAGCACTAACTGTACTTCGATTCGGAGTCCACCCAAATCTTATTATCTAATCAAACCTAGGAACAAACACAATGATTTTCTCACAATAATTCTCAATATGATATATATCCAGGATTGAGTATGTATATACATATGAGATCCACTATCAAAAAAAAAACAACACATCTAATCAGTTAGTAAATTTGGCACATTTGTACTTTATCTTAAAATTGCTATTTTTAAAAAATCTGCAAACATATATTTTAGATTTATGTATTTTAAATTACAGTAGCTTGTCTTTTTAAATGCATAGCTTACCTTGACTTTGGGAAGATTTCGCTTGATTGGAAAGTTCTTCATTTTCTATTTAGTATAATGAATTAAGGAAGAAGTGAATACTAAACAGATTACTTATCAAATGCAAACAAAAATCTAGGGCTTTCTTTACGTTGGTTTGATTACCAACTGATCTATAAAAAAAACCCCAGACCTTTCTGCTGAAGCCTAGTACAAGTAGTCCTCGACTTACAACCACAATTGAGTCTGAAATTTCTGTTGCTAAACAAGACGTTTGTTAAGTGAATTCCGCCTCATTTTATGACCTTTCTTACCACACTTGTTAAGTGAATCACTGCAGTTGTTAAGTTAGTAAACGGTTGTTAAGTGAATCTGGCTTCCCCGCTGACATTGCTTATCGGAAGGTTGCAAAAGAGGATCACATGACTCTGGGGCACTGCAACCGTTATAAATACCAGCCAGTTGCCAAGCAGCTGAATTTTGATCATGTGTCTTTGGAGATGTTGCAATGGTCATAAATGTGAAAAACAGTCATAAGTCACTTTTTTGGTGCTGTTGTCGAACAGTAACTAAATGAATGGTTGTAAGTTGAGGACTACCTGTAAAGTATCTTGCCAGTAAAATCTGGATTCAAAATGTTAGGGAGAATAACAATTTACTTTTGCTATAATTTGAGTAATTGGCTCAAATAACTTCTAGGCTCTATCTAGTTTTAAAAAAAGTCCATTGTCCTGGCTCAAGTTTCCTCTTTACTAAAGCTCTGAGGTGCTAATTCCCCCTAGTGATTTTTTCCAAGCAGAAGCATCTCCTGGTGAAGTGGTGGAAAAAAAACAACTGACAGAGGCCTCTCATCTGACATTTCCCTTTCAGAACAGCAGCCAGGGATGGGCTGAAGGCCCCTGGCATGCATGCATGCATGCATGCATGNCCACCCACCCACCCACCCACCCACCCACCCACCCACCCACCCATCTATCTATCTATCTATCTATCTATCTATCTATCTATCTATCTATCTATCTATCTATCTATCTATCTATCTATCTATCTCCCCCCCTTATTATTTTTACAAATAACTCAAGGTGGCAAACATGTCGCATATACTTTCCTCTTACTGTTTTCCCCACAACAACCTGGTGAGTTGGGTTGGGCTGAGAGAATATGACTGGCTTTAGACTGGTGCCTTAACTACTTGACCATACTGGCTCTGTCTCATGTTCTTTCTCATTTCTTGGCTTGGTTGAAACATAAACCAGTCACCCTGGGCTTTCCAAGGATACCTGCTTTACCTGTTCCCACAGTACTAGAAGTATACGATGGTGGAGTTGGCAAACCAGGAGCTATAACGTTAGCCAGCGGAACGAGACCTGCATTGTTGTAAGCACCTAGTAAGGAAACAGAAGGCACAGAAAGATGGAGAAATAATAAACTAGTGCATATTCCTATTGGGTTGCTCTGATCATTGTCTCACCCTAAGTAGCACATGTGAAAATCATAGCTCCTCCACAAGGCTTTAAAAATATTTTAACATTATTTACTTGTGTAAACTATTCAACACTGTTATACCTTACCTGTATGCTGTCTGGGAAAAAAAAATAGCTTAACTTGTATTATACTGGGTGGTATAATACATAAAACACTATTGTTGATTTGGCCTGGAAGGAAAATGAAATGTTCATCTATATTCAATAAATTGAAAAAGATTGCGGGCAATAATTATCACATTGTTGGCTCTCTTTCCTTTTATTCTTTTTATTGCTATTTATGGAAAGAACAGAAAATGTGGTAGCATCAATTCCTAGCAAATAACAGATACTTTGCTTAATGTCAATAAGACTCTCTGGGGACGAAAAGAGTTTCCAGCTCTGAGCACCACTCATTATTACAGGCACGCACGCTGGCTGAGGAATTCTGGGAGTTGAAGTCCACAAGTCATAAAAGGGCCAAGTTTGAAGACCCCTGTTACAGGCTATTAACTCATCAGAAAAGATTAGAGACAAATATAAAAGAAACCGTAGAGAAAGCAAGCAATCTCAAAGAAAAAAAAAATCAGGCAAGCAACCTCAGAGAAAACAAATGTATTCACTTATAAATAATGATTATGAGGCTACCTATGAGATGTACCAATTAGGTCACATTAGAACCAATGTCAAATAACAGGGCCAAAGCTTACTTGGTGCAATTGTTGCATGTGGTCGGCAAGGAGGAATTGGGTAAGGAACAGGCTTGTGTGGATTGTATGTTGTTGGAGCCTAAACAAAAGGAAATGAGATTATATGCAAAGCTATCATGAAAGACAGCGTGCAACCAGGGCACATTTGGCTTTGGCAAAGATGCTTCTTTCCTGTGCTCCTTTCACTGGTATTCTTTTGTTGGTAAATGTGTTCATTATTTGGTTCATCCTCCTCCTATAGATTTCTTTTCTGTCTAGATTCTGCCTCTGTGGTCAGCTAATCTAAACTGTGGCTTCTTTTTTTCTTTTCATTCCTGCCCTTTTTTTTTTTTTACCTCAGTAACTTTAGTAACTGCATGGCGAGAGAAATTAGGGCTGCACCTTGTGCCCAGCACTATGACGTGTAATCATACGATGAACCTACAACTCATTAGGCTGAAACAAAGCCTCACAATAGTCACTGTCTGCCTAAGTGCACTTCCCTAACTTACAGTTGTGTTGGACTGCAATTCCCACATTCTGCATGCACAATGTTGGGCACAAATTATAAAAATTATAATCCTTAGTAACTGGAAGATGCCAAGTTGGGAACGTCTGTTCTTAATGATCAAACTTCTGCTTTCTTGCATTTAAAATACACTTGAAATACTTTCTTTTCATTCCTTTTATGCAAGTTATTCTTTCTTAATAGCTAATATTATAGACATCTGAACAGGGTTTATTAAAGAACAAAATCTTAGATTTATATATCAACTGCTATCTGTAATAAAACAGGGGTTGTATTTGTCACATTTGCACTCTCAGCTAATTCTTTTTCCTACTAAATTTATCCGGTTTTCAACAGCAAAGTCAATGTTACTTTTTGATCACTGCATTAATGTGACTTACTGGTTTTGATGGTCCAAGAATGCGAGCTGCTATTCCCTTGCCTTCACTAATATAATCCTCATTTTCCTTCTTAATGGGGGAACCCTATAAAATAAAGATTTTCCATTAGTGAATATATAACACTATGTTAGAAGCAAAAATATAGATCTGGTTCAAGGAGTACAGGTAGTCCTCCACGTACAGCAGTTAATTTAGTGACCGTTTGAAGTTACAACAGCACTGAAAAAAATGACTTATGACTGTTTTTCATATTTACAAGCACTGCAGCATCCCCATGGTCACATGATCAAAATTCAGTTGCTTGGCAACTGACTCATATTTATGATGACTGCAGTCTTCCAGGGTCATGTGATCATCTTTTGCCAGCTTCTGACAAGCAAAGCCAATGGGAAAGCCAGATTCACTTAACCATGTTATTATATTAACAACTGAAGTGATTCACTTAACAACTGTGGTAAGAAAGGTCATAAAATGGGGCCAAATTCACTTAACCAATGTCTCGCTTAGCAACAGAAATTTTGGACTCAATCATGTACAGGACCACCTGTACAGTTAAGTCATGATTTACGTAATCATGGCTTATGAAATAAATTAGCTGATTAATGGATAAATCATAAAATAGCTTTACAAACCACCATGGTTATGTTCACACCACACACTAAGCTAAATTTAACTAAACTAAACTAGACTATACTAAAGTCTGAAACCTGAATGTAATATATTTTCCATTTATCAGACAAGGGAAAATATATATGATGACAAACAGCATGACAAGACAGCTTCCTCTACATTTAATCAGCATGAATGCAGTTCTATGAGATAAGCTAGATTCAAACTTGGCCCTTTTATGACTTGTGGACTTCAACTCCCAGAATTCCTCAGCCAGGCACGCTGACTGAGGAATTCTGGGAGTTGAAGTCCACAAGTCATAAAAGGGCCAAGTTTGAAGACCCCTGAGCTAGAAGTTACATGACTTCTTTGAGATAACCTGAGCAGAATAAAACTTCACAGAGGATAAAATATTCCACAAAACATGAATGATATGTTAAAATATATTCAATGGAAAATTCAAACAACTGAAAGTTCAGTAAGACCATACGTACAGGAAAAATCCCATTGATACGGCTGGGCTTCCCTTTGGGGTAAGGGTTCCCAGGAATCATGCCACAGGAAGATATCATAGCATGAGGTGCTTTGC